AAATTAAAAGAAAAAATAAGTTTATAAAAAAAGGAATGGAGGGAACCAGCAGTTAGCGTAATGGCTATGTCGCTGGACTCCCACGTAGTCGACCGCGGTTCGTGTCCCGGACCCGGTGGCTTAAAACTCACGCCGGGCGCGTGTGCGTGCGTGCCCAAGATCCCGAGAGGAGAATGGAGGAGAAGGGATTGCGGCGTGACCATCCCCCCTGGGGGGTGATTTCTCGCTTTCTGTCTCTATGTCTCTCTCTGTCTATCTGGCGAGCGCACGCGCCCTACAGTGAAAATCTCTCAAAAAAAAAAAAAAAAAAAAAAAAAAGAATGGAGAAAACATTTTCAAGATCTGAACCTTAACTTCATTGACTCACTTTAAAAATTAGCCATTTACTATGGCATTAAACACTATCTAGAAATAAACCTAACAAAAGATATGCAAGAGCTCTACCATGAAAACTACACACCATTATTGCAGGAAGTTAAAGAAATTCTAGGGGCCTTCAGGTGGCTTGGTGGTTAAAGTGCCGGATCCCACATGGCTGACTGTGGTTTGAGTCCCACAACCGGGAGCTTGAAAATCATGCTGGGTGCATGTGTGTGCATACTCCAAATCCTGAGAAGAGAATGAAGGAGAAGGGATTGTGGGATGGCCATCACCTCTTGGGGGAGGGTGATTTCTCCCTTTCCCTTTCTCCGTTTCTCTCTGGTGAGTGCATGCACCTTGTAACAAAAAAACTAAAAACAAAGCAGAACAATAAAAAGTTATAAATAGATGCAGGGATTTGGAAGACTCAGTATTTTAAAGATGTTAGTTCTCTCCAAATTAGCTATAAAGTTAATGCAAATGCTAATACAAATCCTATTTCAGATGAAACTGGTAAACTGCTAAAATTCATATGAAAATGCAAAGGGTCAGGAGTAGGCATGGTAATTTTGAAGAAGAACATAGCTGGAAGACTTTCACAGTAGATTCTAAAACCTATTTTAAAACTTTGATAATTAAGGGAACCAGCAGTTAGTGTAATGGCTATGTCGCTGGACTCCCATGTAGTCGACCGCAGTTCGAGTCTCGGACCCGGTGGCTTAAATCTCATGCCGGGTGCGTGTGCGTGCGTGCCCAAGATCCCGAGAGGAGAATGGAGGAGAAGGGATTGCGGCGTGGCCATCCCCCGTGGGGTCTGATTTCTCACTTTCTGTCTCTCTGTCTCTCTCTGTCTGGCAAGCGCACGCACCCTATAGCAAAAACCTCTCCAAAAAAAGAAAAAAAGAGTTACTCAGCGAGTGTGGAATGATAAATTTGTTGGTGAACATGAGAAGAAATATCTTCTTTCTCTTCCCTTTCTTTCCTCCTCCTTCCTTTCTCTCTCCCTCCCTCCTTTCTTCTTTCCCTCCATCTTCCTTCCTGCTACTAAACATTTACACAGATGAAAAGAGACCCCAATAGCACAACTCTGAGGAGAGTGGAGAACAGATCTCGGGAAGTTTCCTTACAAGTTCTAATTCAAAACATGGTGGTACTGGGAATAGGTTAATCCTGGCGTATCTTCTTTTTTTTTTTAAGAGGTTTTTGCTATAGGGCGTGTGTGCTCGCCAGAAAGCCAGAGAGAGACAGAGAGGTAGAAAGCGAGAAATCCCCCCGCCCCCCCGGGGGGGAATGGCCACGCCGCAATCCTTTCTCCTCCATTCTCCTCTCAGGATCTTGGGCACGCACGCACACACGCCCGGTGTGAGTTTAAGCCACCCGGTCTGGGACTCGAACCACGGTCGACTACGTGGGAATCCAGCAACATAGCCATTATGCTAACTGCTGGTCCCAATCCTGACGTATCTCTCTGTGCACTTCAGAGCAGAGGCTTGAGGAAGTCAGGTTCTGGAAGAAGGAGCTAGATGACAAACTCGAGCAGCTGGTGTACGAAACCGAGGACCTACTCATCTACAAGATCAGACTGGAGAGAGCCCTGGAGAGCTTTAAAGAGCCCTTGCGCATCAACCAGCTGTGCCTGGCTTACAGGTAGGGGAGGGTCATTGATCAGGTCATCACAGCGCAGTGCTGGGGAGTCAAAGGGAACTGTGCGAGAGGATGGGTGAGAATCAGACAGATGAGGGACCAGCAGGTGACCTGGTGGTGAAGACGCTGGACTCCCACATGACTGATCACGGTTTGAGTCCCAGACCTGGCAGCTTGAAAATCTCAACAAAGAGATAACTAAATAATTTTTTTAAAGAATAAGACAAATAAGCTGGTATTCTTTCTTAGTGTTATTATTATTATTTTTTTATTTTCATGTGCCGTTGAGAGAGAGAGAAAGTGAGAAGTCCCTCCTAGGGGGATCGTCACACCACAATCCCTTTGCTGCCATTTTCCTTGTGATTATTATTATTATTATAGATTTTTTTTTCATAGAGCACATGCGCTCGCTGGAGAGAGATGGGGGGGGCAGTGAGAAATCATCCCCCAGGGGAGATTGTCATACCTCAATCACTTCTCCATTCTCCTTTCTGGATTTGGGGCACATGAGCACAGCCTGATTTTCAAGCCACTGAGTCCAGGACTATGGTCGACCATGTGGGAGTCCAGTGCCTTAACCACGCCAACTGCTGGCCCCTCTCTTTGGGATTTTGTTTCAAGCCACCTGGGCTGTGATCCCAACGGTGTCATCAGCCACATGGGATCCACCTCCCTTTACCGCTAGGCCACAGGGCTGGACCTCTGGTGTTCTTTCAGCCCTCTGTAGGTTACCTGTAGTACCTGAGGCAACATACATGCTGTGTAAATAGGTGTTGTATCATATGGTTTAGGGAATAAGAAAAAGCCTGTACCTGTTCGATATGGATGCCACCGTCACTGGCCAACTGCATAGCTCCCGCCAGCAACATGCAACCCGCCAACAACATGCAACCTTTTTTTCTTCTTTTTTTCCTAAGAGAGATTTTTGCTATAGGGTGTGTGTGCTCACTGGAGGGACAGAGAGAGACAGAGACAGAAAGTGAGAAGTCCCCCCCCACCACCACCACCACCAGGGGTGATGGCCACTCCACAATCCCCTCTCTGCCATTCTCCTTGGGATTTTGGTCACACATGCACACACACTCAGTGTGAGTTTTAAGCTGCGGGGTCCAGCTCTCAAACTGTGACCAACCACGGTGGGAGTCCAGTAACATAACCATTACATCATCAACTGTGGCCAACCACGGTGGGAGTCCAGTGACATAACCATTACATCCCAACAATAGAACATTTTCATTTTGGAGTTGGTTGAATCCACGGATGCAGAACCTGTAGATAGGGAGAGCAGAGCCGCAATCCCTTCTACTCCATTCTCCTCTCGGGATCTTGGGCACGCAAGCACATGCGCCCAGTGTGAGTTTAAGCCACCGGGTCTGGGACTTGAACTGCAGTCGACTACGTGGAAGTCCAGCAACATAGCCATACGCTAACTGCTGGTCCCACGTTTAGGATATTTTTTAAGTCGCACAGACACCAGCCGATATCCATCCCACGTCATCCAGACTGGGGTCGGGCGGTCACAGATCAGTCGTCAGGAAGGTGTGAAACGTCCAGACAGCCTCCTTGCGCTGCCTCTCCGCTCATGTTGGTTGACCCGCTGCCTGTCCCCGGCCAGGGAGAAGCGCGTCGGGATTGACCTAGTGCATGACGAAGTGGAGCAGGAGCTGATAAAGGAGGCCGAGATCATCCGGGGCGCCATGGCCCTACTGACCCGCACTCTGGAGGAAACTTCTGAGCAGATCAGGTACAGTCGTCGGGGCCTGCCCTCCAGATCTCCTGTGGGCGCTTGTAGATGAGGCAGCAGGCTCTGTGGCATAGAAAGAACAGGACTCAACACACCCACTCATACTCTGTGTCCCCAGGTGGCCCGACACTCATGGTGTGAATGGGACACCCCCTCATACCTGGCAGTCACCCTCTGAGGGTGGGGACCGATTTACCTCATGATTATAAACTAGATATATTTCTGATATCCCCACCTTCCCATAGTGTGGGGATATCAGAAAATTCAGTGGGGGCCCGATGGCGGTGCACGGGCAGAATGTGACACTACAAGGCAGTCTCTGTGGGCAGGTCCCTGGCTCAAGACGGAGACCTTCCCGAGTATACCAGGCATGGTGTCCAGGGCCAGCTGAAGCTGGGGCTGTCCCTGGTGTCAGGACCTGCGGGAGGTGCGCTCTCTCTCTCTCTCTTGCTCATGGAAGAAATAAACATAAAAGAGGGATTTTTTAAAAAGGAAAAGAACATGTCACAGTGGAAGGGATAAGCTCGCTGTGTTAATTTGTCATCGAGTGTCTGATAGCATCTGGGTGCATGTGCTGAGGTGATGGGTTGGTGGGGGAGCAAATACCACCACCCCCATCAGACCTAGCGTCAGCCTCGTTTTCCAGGGTCTCCCGAGGACTCATCGGTGCCACCTGGGCATTGCGGAGGGGGAAACCCAGTTTACCTTCTCCCTCCAGGCTGA